GGAAGGCATTTCAGTCTTTGCAATATTGGTTGCCTACTACTGGCGTAAAGTAGAAAACCTATTGTTTTTGATTTATTCCGCCTGCATGCTATGTAGAACTTTTTTTTTTTGATAAACAATCACTGGTCCTTTTTTAGCATTAAATTATCCACAAAAAATCTTACAGGGTCCAGTCTGTAATATTAATTTTAAAAGGTCCATCATCGAATTTAAAATTTTTTTATTCATTTAACAAGGAAAAATAGTTTTTTAAGATTTATTTCGCCTGCATACTATGTAGAACTTTTTTTTTATAAACAATCACTGGTCCTTTTTCAGCATTAAATTGTCTACAAAAAACCTACAGAGTCCAGTCTGTAGATTCAACTGTTTCTTTTTTATTAACGTTGAAACGTATAAATTCTAAAAAAATTTAATATTTTTACATTTAGCGGATAAACTTCTAATTGTAGAAAAAAAGTCAATTAGCAATTTTGAAGATCTTTTAATGCTCCACAAGTTCGTTTTAAACAATTTTTTTTATCACCTACTGTTCAAAAGTTATGCGTCTAAAATCCTATTTTCATGATTATGCATAATATATTATTATAATATTTACTGTAGGAAAAAAGTTTAGGGACAATTTTGCAGGAAACCCGAAGCACTATAAATAACGTACCAAGATTCTTCAACACACTCAATTAATCGCTGAATTTAAGCTAAAATAGCTTAACTTTTATGATATTCTTAATTTCATGATCCAGCTTTTGACTGCAAATAAAATTTTATACTTCGCTTCAAAAAAGTTTTGATATACTGAAAATAATTTTAAACCTTGTGAACTAACACAAGAAACAATCTTCCAAAAGTCGTACCAATATTTAGTAATCTTAGAATAAATATAATTATATTTATATTCAGTATAGTTTTATATCTTTAAGAACAGAATAGAGGGAATTTTCCAAAATTTTGTCTAATCGATTGTTAATCTTAAATTAAGAATAAGATTATTTCATAAAGTCTTTCTTAACATTTAAAAGGCAAGAATAAGATATTTAGTTTAATGTTAGTTTTAGCCTTGGCAATATTAGGTCAATAATCTTGTTTCAACTGTACTTGATTTTAAGCTAAGAAATAAAATCCTTTTAATTTAAAGATAGGTTAATATTTAAAAAAAAATTGTATTCGTAGCCTAAGCAAATTATACTTAAATCAAGTGAATTTTTTTTAAGAATAAAGGTATTCTTACATTTAGAAAACATTTTTTTTGCATGTAGCTTCAATCTAATGAGGTGTCAGTATTTTTTGTGAATAGGGCAGATCAGCTAGGAACGTAGATTTGACCATGCAATTGAAACAACAAAATCGACGTGAGTAAAATAAAAAAGGCAAAAAGCCCGGTTGGGGTTTTAAATTTCGGCTTTATTCTGTACGTAACTTCGCTACATTACGAAGAAATCGATAGGTTCATTTCGTAAAGTGCAATCGAATACATATAGATATATGTATATCTATAGTGAACATGTTTAACATGTTATAGCCATCCTACAGCATGCTACATCAGCAAATGCGTGGCAGATAATGATATTAATGGGTTTAAATTTTTAATGGTTCTAAAAATATTTCATTAATATTAAGCCCTTTCGTTCATATTTTAAGCTTATTAATAATTAATGAAAACAAATGGTGGATTAAAAACTGCATACAACATTTAAATTCGTTTTAGCGTTTTTTCGTTAGTATTTTTTAATAAAAATTACCCGTTAAACAATTCAGCCACGAAAAATTGATAAATGTTCGCATGGCAAAGTGCCAATGTTGTGTTATATTATTGCTTTAAAATTGAGAATGCTTTACAATGGATCATATCATATCCATAAAACATTTACATGACCGTATAAATAAAATCAGAGTCAGGATCATAAATTTTCTAATTAAATAGTTGTTATAAATATAATTAAACATAGCTTCTACGTAGGTACCTATATAAATAAATAAACAAACAGGAGTTACTTTTCTCATCCCAATCCATTTAGAATTCCAGTTCCATCTACATTAAATCTCATTTTCATCCCGACTAACTGTTTTCATTTACATGCTGTTGTACATAATTGTGTGTAAAATGCAATGTAATTTAAATTTATATTAACTTTACGAGTCGGCTTCATTGTAAGGACAAATTTATTAAAAAAAGATGCATTTTGTTTAGGGCTTTTACCTTTTCAAATCGATTTACAAATGCTGGCATTTTTTATTTGCATGAAATAGAGACTATGACATGTAATTCAAATATTTAATCTTCTCGATACCAGCGATAAAAAGCCATAGACTAAACTATTGTATTACATGGCATTAATTACATTAAAGCAGGTTTTACGTGTCTAAAATGCTTTATTCTACTCCCACCTTTAAAACGCCCATTATCGTACACTAAGTGATCCTTTAAATACACTTTGGAGTGCCAATAAAATATTTTCTTTACTTTCACTGTGAAAAACTGCTTTTATATCGGATTTAACCGGTGATTAGTCCATTTTCAATGGATACATTTCGAGTTACACGTAAAAATTTGACATTTTGACCGACATTTTTGCATTAGTGACATTTTTTTTAAATAAAAATCAATACAGTTTTTATAAGTAAAGTAGAAATTTTGGGCCTCCACTGGTTGTTCCTGACCTATGACAACTGACGCAAAATATGCCTGCACAGTGGCAATAATCTACATTCATTAAAAATTTAGTTTTAGTAATTTTTGTATAGGTACACAGTAAAAAATTTATATGTAGAGATATACTTAACATATTTCTTCGTGTACACTCAAATTTTTTAATTTATTGATTTTTATTACTTATGTTAATTTTTAACACAACAGAATGTGTAAAAGAAAGTTAATATATGTTATTTTTTTTTACATAACTGCAAAGTTAATTTAACAAATCGTGTTGTTTCAATTTTTTTTATGGTTATTTTAACCTAAACTAATAATTAATATGATTTAAAATCTGTATAACTTTAACATAATTAATTATGTTAAACTTATTTATATTTTATTTATTTTACACAAAAAAGTGTTACTTTAGAATTTTTACATTATTAATTGTTTATTTTAATTAATATAAGAATATTGGTTTTTGGGCAAAAAATAAAACATGTACATAAGTATGTAATAATAATGATTTATTATACTCCAACATAATAAAATTTATATTTAAGTTAAATTGAATAAAAAAAATACTCAATTGTTTTAATTTGATTAAAAATTTTCTGTACTCAAATATTTAACAAATATTTTTGAGTTAGATTAACACTTGTTTAGGAGTTATTTAAACTAATGTTTTATATTGAAATTAACATAATTTTCTCGTAACATTAACTATTTTATGATACTACAATGTACAAAAATTATTATTTAACATTCTTATTTGTGTATGACCTTGTAACACAATAATGTTTGTTAAATCTTTTGAAATTTTAAGATTTTAATTATCATAATTTTTGTACCAAGTAACATATATCATTTATGTTATAAACACTAGGAAGTTTATGTAAATTTTTACATTTTTATTATTTTTAACACAAATTTTATAAATTTTTAACTGTGTACTAGGTGTGTTCAGAAAATAACGGGAATTGTTAAATTTCGCGGGTTCGGAGGGTCCGGTTGTCATAAAATTTTCTTTATTATGTTGGTATACATGCCCCCGAAGTATGAGAAAAACTTAAGCTGTTTTCATTGTTTACTTTGTCTGTGGCAGCCGCTAAGGTTAGACGTGTTTTATGAGCTCGGCGATTTTTCGTTCGTTAAAAAAAATGGATGAAAGAATTTGTATCCAATTTTGCTTAAAAAATGAAATAAATTCTGTGAAATGTTAACAAAGGCCTATGTGAGTCTGCTATAAGTAAAACAAGAGTTTACAAGTGGTTTAAGAGTTTCCAAGATGGCCGTGAAGACGTTGAAGATGACGAACGCCCCGAACGCACAAGCACATTAACAACCTATAAAAACATGGAAAAAGTGGAAGAAATGGTTATAAACCATCAAAGAAGTCGCTGATGATGTTGGTATATCGATTGGCTCATCCCATGAAATTTTTTCTAATGTTTTGTGTATGAAACGCGTGGCAGCAAAATTTGTTCTAAAATTGTTAAATTTAGAACAACATTTTTGGCCAAAAACAATACTGTAATGATGCCCCAGCCTCCATATTCGCCAGACATGCCTCTGTCTGACTTTTTCCTATTCCCAAAAATAAAGAGAACCTTAAAGGGCCGTCGTTTTGCAAGCATAGATGACATTAAAAGCGCATCGCTGAAAGAACTAAAGGCTATCCCAAAGATCGAGTTTTAGAAGTGTTTCGAGTATTGGAAGAAGCGCTGACACATGTGCATGTAGGCGAATAAATAAATATTTGTTTCAAAAAACGAAAATTCCCGATATTTTCTGAACACACCTCGTACTAACCGATTTTGAAAAAGTTTAAAAGTTTGCTTGATATTACATAATACACTGGGATACATAGAATAGGTCAGTGACATCCAGTGGCTCCTTGGTTTTGTCAAAAAAACTCATAATTTTTTTTATTAAAAAACAGTAGCTCTAATTCAAAATGATAAAGGAAATACTTTCTTGTTTTGGCGTGTACTATCATCCGCCCAAAGGATGACAATGTAGATGTCGCTTTACACAAACATTTAAATTAATTAGTAATAAATTGTTTTTTATAATTAATAATAATAATAACACTCATTTTATTAAACACTCTCGTTTATCAAACTTGATGCATAATATACTATTATTTAATATTTATCCGCAACAATGCTTCTTTGAATATCGTTTTATCAACCCTAGTTAAATTCACTTAAATGGATTACTTGACAATGCTTTTGTTGAAAATAGGATTTTAATTAGTCTCCTAGCCTGTTTATTTTTGCTTTTATTGAATATTATTTCGTATAGGCCATCGCAAAAATTTAATTTCAATGTGCAAGAAGTAATACAATTTATTCTCTATTTTCAGACGCGGGATGTTGATGTGAATAGTATACATTTAAATGGATTGGAGGATGATATTTCTTGCTGTGGCTTTTATTATCGGTAAGTGTTTTCTAAATTTAATATCTATTTACCCCTACACTTATAGTGATAGATCACTTTGTTGGGTTAAATTGAATGAAATAGAAAAATATTTACGTAAAATAATTTATTTAGGGTTAATTAATTGCTTTGCGGCCTATACTATGTTGGTGTTTTTGTATGGGCAGGACTGACACAGTATTATCATATGCACTTCAGCTGTACATATTCGATGGGTTCCCACGCTAGAAAATACACACCATGGTAATCGAGATTCGAAATTGTCACATGTTGGAATTTTAGAAAAGTTCATTTGCCATTGTTTGATGAAAGAAAGAAGTAAATTTTTAAATCGCCTAGAATAAATCCCGCTTTACGATATCCGAAGGATAAATCTCTTTCGAGCAGCAGCATATGTCGAGTAGTTGGCCACAAAACGAAAAAACAATCCATACATAAATATTTAATTTAATTTTCTAAAACACTTCCTAAACAGTAAAGTTTCGAAAACGCCAGTAAAACAGTGGCAATAATATATTCCATGGATAGAGTTTGTTCGAGAACAATTAGATGTTCTTGTTTTGATTTTTCTTTAATACTCTGAAAACCATTTATCCTAATGGAATTCGAGTTAAGAGTTTGACCCTGTATGCATAAAGGGTGAAGTTCAACTTCAACTATATTATTTTTTTATTAAGATGGTGGTGGTATCTCAAAATCCATACAATTTTGTATACATAGCTGTCCAGTATTTTTTCACATACCTTTCGATGGGCCACCCTGTATATTATTATTACCAGCCTGTGCATCATAATATCTGTATTTTTATATAGAGGTATCAAACAAACGGATTTTTCACGTTTCCCAAATGACAAACATAGGCTTGTGGGGTATCAAATAAACGGATTTTGCACGTTCTACAAGATGCACAATAAAAAAAATATCATTTGGCATTTCAAAATTATTTGAAAGTAAATCGTATTTTTATTAATTTCTTCGTAATCTACGCAAAAAATCACGTAAAATGAGTACCAACATCGCCATGTTTAGACAACAAACAAAAAAGTTGAACAAATGAAGATCGCAATACTTAAACGTGCAAAACTACCCTTAAACAAATGACGAACATAGGCTTGTGGGGTATCAAACAAACGGATTTTGTACGTTTTACAAGATGCACAACAAAAAAATATCATTTAGCATTTCAAAATTATTTAATTTTATTTTAAAGTAAATCGTATTTTTATTAAAATCTTTGTAATCTACGCAAAAAATCACGTAGAATGAGTACCAACATCGCAATGTTTAGACAACAAACAAAAAAGTTGAACAAATGAAGATCGCAATACTTAAACGTGCAAAACTACCCTTAAACAAATGACGAACATAGGCTTGTGGGGTATCAAACAAACGGATTTTGTACGTTTTACAAGATGCACAACAAAAAAATATCATTTAGCATTTCAAAATTATTTCATTTTATTTTAAAGTAAATCGTATTTTTATTAAAATCTTCGTAATCTACACAAAAAATCAAGTAAAATGAGTACCAACATCCCTATGTTTAGACAACAAACAAAAAAGTTGAACAAATGAAGATCGCAATATTTAAACGTGCAAAACTACCCTTAAACAAATGACGAACATAGGCTTGTGGGGTATCAAACAAACGGATTTTGCACGTTTTACAAGATGCACAACAAAAAAATATCATTTGGAATTTCAAAATTATTTAATTTTATTTTAAAGTAAATCGTATTTTTATTAAAATCTTCGTAATCTACGCAAAAAATCAAGTAAAATGAGTACCAACACCCCTATGTTTAGACAACAAACAAAAAAGTTGAACAAATGAAGATCGCAATACTTAAACGTGCAAAACTACCCTTAATAATAATAATAATAATATTTATTAGTGCTATTACCAAAAGGTTTACAACGTCAGAAAAATACAAATGACGAACATAGGCTTGTGGGGTATCAAACAAACGGATTTGGCACGTTCTACAAGATGCACAACAAAAAAAGTATCATTTGGCATTTCAAAATTGTTTTAAAGTAAATCGTATTTTTATTAATATCTTCGTAATATCTGCAAAAAATCACGTAAAAAGGTTTTATTAAAGTTTACTCGTTATAAAAGCTGATTGAGCAAACCCTAAAAAGTGCCAAACATTTTGTTAGGCCAGTGCTATCAAACAAATTGTTTGTAATGGCTTATAACTATTACTTCGGTAGGTAGTTAATGACATTGGTCTTGGGATAGTGTAGGATATATTTGATATTTATTGGTATGGGTTCAAAGGATGAAATTGAATTCGATGGAAAAGCCAATGATAGAAAACCGTGCACGTCTAATATTGATGATGAGTACACAGTAGCGACCATGAATAAAATATTGGCTTGCGACTGTTTGTTCTTGACTTGGCATCAGAAGAACCCACCCTTCTTTAAAATAAAGACAGTGCCATCCTCGTATCCTTTCTCTAAATTGGATATCCCAACATCAAAAGCTGAAAATGCGTCTGATGAGATCAATTTTAAATTTCAAACGGCGTTCCCATTTCATAATTATCGCAAACAGGATTCGGTTTTAGATTAATTCGGTATCACATATTAATTTAATGAGCCGACTTTAATGATGTCAGGCGACGGGCTTCTAATTTGTTAGTTTTTCCCTCGATACAAAAATAACGGTAGTTGTCGGTTCTTCATTTTAATTCCTTTTTCAAAGTCTAGTCATACATTAATTCCACTTTATTATTATGTCTTTGTCGTGGCTGGCCAAAATTATTATCTAAATTATTGATCATGTTGCTGCGGAATATCAACAGATTGTATAATGTAGTAATCTCTTTGAACAAAGCCGGATCATACACCCACACACTCTATTTAAATAATAATTAAAGACAAAAACAAAGTTGGGTGGATTAAATTGTATTAAATAAATAGGTCGGATGTACAATTATAATTGTTTTGGATATGGTTCATATATATATGTAAGCGTTTTTACAGACCTGGTGTCTTGAGACACACTAAACTTACCCTTGGAAAATTAATTTCCCTCCACTATTAACGCTCAGTTTACTTCGGATGGATGTTTCTGTTAAAAAAAGCCAATTACAGTATATAAAAAAATTCCTTCTACCTAGCTACACAGCGCTACGTAAAACAAAAAAAAACGACTTAATTTAATTACTTAACGCTACTTCCACTGCATTTATCAATATTTACATTGTTTTACTTTTATTTATTTTTAACAAAAAAGGCCCCAGACGGGCTCAATAATGTTTTGTTTGTTTTTACAGGAATCGAGATATTTTAAAGTAGGTATATACTATTTATTCATGTGTGTTAAAAGGGGACGAGTCTTTTTTCCAACTTATTGTTTTTTCTCAAACGGTGTGTTTGTAACACTGGAACTTCAGTTAAAGTCAATAAACAATATTTATATGGTCGCACTTTGTTTCTTATTCAAATTTTATTGCATACTATACTATTCTACGAAAAAAACTTATTATCTAAAAATAATTTAATTTAAATATTTGTATAGAACAATGGGAATCTCAAATGTCAAATTTGTATGTGTAAATGGAAATGTATCCCCTAATGTTTTTCTCAGTGAAAGTAAAGAAAATGTTTTATTGGCACTCCACGATAAAGTCTCCACTCAAAATAAAGTTAATTCCAGTTTACGGCAAAATTAAAAGGTCAGTACAATGTTCATATAAACTTTTCAAATATTGGCGTTTAGAAAACTATTTAATACTTTTGTATTGAGATAATAAAATAATGTTTACATTTAGAATTGTTTTACAAGAATGGCACTTTGTTTTAACGATTGTATGACATCTGTCAACTTCAGCCCGTGACTAAAAACCTGTTGCCAACTTGACTAAAGCGCCATAAAGCCACAACTTGTCAATGTGTATTTAAAAGGTCACTTTGTGTTATGGAAACATGTACGATAATGAGCGTTTTAAAGGTGTGAGTAGAAAATAGTATATTATGTATCAAGTTTGATAAACGCCAGTGTATAGAAAAGTTTATAAACGAGGTGCATACTATACTTTTTTTACGACAAATATTTATTATTATCTTAAGATGATTTAAATCAAAATTTTTATAGAGCGCCATCTATGAAACAATAGGGGAATCTGTGTGTCACCGTCAAATGTCACATTTTTATATTTTATAAACACAGATTATAAAGGTTATAAATCGAAATGTATTTCTTGAAAATTGACAGTTTTTCACAGTGAAAGTAAAGAAAATGTTTTATGAGGACTTTACAGTGGAGTCCGTGCCCGAATTTAAGTTATAGTTTACTGCCGGCGAAATTAAAAGGTCAGTACAATGTTCATATAAACTTTTCAAATATTGGCGTTTAGAAACTATTTAGTCTTTTGTATTTTTGTATTGAGATAATAAAATAATTTTCACATTTAGTATTATTTTACAAGAAAGGCATTTTATTTTAACGATTGTATGACATTTGACAATTGTCCAGTAACTTAAAAATAACTTCAGCCCGTGACTAAAGCGCCATAAAGTCACAACCTGTCAATGTGTATTTAAAAGGTCACTTAGTGTCATGGAAACATGTACGATAATGAGCGTTTTAAAGGTGTGAGTAGAAAAAAGCCATCAAGCCATTAAGTATATACAGGATATATTTAGGCAGCACCTACTAAGCTTATTATTATTAAGAGATAGGAAAAAACTTCGAATACAAAAGTTGTAGGGTTTGTCCTAAATCGACAGAAATTGTTACGTTATTTTTTTAACATTACTATATATATACTTGTATAAATTGTGTTGCAGTAAAATAAATAAATATATACTCGTATAATGTGTAACCATGTTTGAAGGTTTAATAAACATTTATCTTGTTAAATTTGGAGTGAATTTTTAATAAATAATAAAAATTGGATTGTGTTTTATATTTTTACATACATTTTTAGCGGTTTTGGTGTTTTGGTTATTTTACAAATTTTAATTAAAGAATCCTGTGCCAACCC